GAGGGAAGGGGGAGCGGGGAGGGAGGGGAAAATGAGGACCTAATGTCGGGGGTTTAAGTGGAGAGAAAATGTTTTGAGAATGATGTACAAATGTGCTTTACACAATTGATGTGTGTATGGATTGCGGTAACAGTTGTATGAGCCCCTAATAAAATGTTTCAAAAAAAAAAAAAGAATTGTGAAGCTTGCTTATAAGAGCTAAAAAGTTCATGGCCTATCCCCCTTTTCAAGTACTGACTGATTTTCCACCTAAAGCCAGTTCTTAAACTTTACTAAGGAGCCCTAGCCTAGTGGCACAATGGTTAATAAGCGCTTGGCTCCTAACCATAAAGTTGGCAGTTTGAACCTACCTAGTGGTTCTATGGGGGAAAGACTAAAAATTATAACCAAGAAACCCAATGAGGCAATTCTATTCTGACACATTTGGGGGGTGGGGGGGTGAGTAAGGAGGGGTATCATTATGAGCTGGAAACCAGCTTGATATCAAACAACAACACAACAGAATGTTACTAGTTTCAATATAGACTGCACAAAACCAAACTCACTGCTATCAAGTCTAGATAGTGAAAAATAATTTCAGCCTGAAAACTCAATTAAAATAATACAGTATCCCTGAGGGTAAAGATCTTAAAAGACAAAAGCACCTTGGGATATAAATATGCTTTGCAAATAAAAAGAAACAATATTCACAAATAAAAATAAGTCATTAAAAAAGAAAGGTATGAAAAAAAAAGATATGTTGAAAGAAGCCTAATGTAGCATTTCATAATTACTCAACTGGTATTCTAAAACTATCATACTAATGACAGTAAAACATCGCTATGAGCCAAAATCAAAGAAACAAACTCACTGCCATCCCGTGGGATTTTTCCCAACGGGACAGCAGCCTGCTCCTTTCTCCAGGGCAGCCGGGGCTGTTCAAGTCAGGGTTTCTGTGGTCTTCTCAATCGTCTCACATGCACGGGGACGCTGGGGCACTGGATAAGGAAGGCCAAAGGCCCACCAACACATCTGAGTTGTGACGCTGGCAGAGAATATGAAAAGGACCACATGGACTGGCCAAAGTACAAACAAATCTGTCTTGGAAAAAGCACAGCCCCAGAGTGCGCCTTAGAGGCAAGGCTGACGAGGCTTCCTCTTCCATACTGTTGACATGTGGTCAGGAGACCAGGATGTGGAGAAGGACATCCTGCTTGGTAAAGCGGCAGGGCAGCGAAGAAGAGGACGGCCCTCGACAAGATGGAGTGACCCAGTGACTGCAACAACAGGCTCAAGTGCAGGAGCGATGGTCATGATGGTGGAGGGCTGGGCAGCGCCTCTATCTGTCGGGCATAGGGTGCTTTGGGTTGGAACTGACTTGAGGGCAACGAACCGACAACAAAATGATTTTCTAAAGGAGCACTGGTGGTGCTGTCAGGTGAGCAGTGAACTGCTGATCACAAAGTGGGAAGTTTAAACCCACCCATTGCTCTGCAGGAGAAAGATGAGGCTATTTGCTTCTCTAGAGATGTACAGGCCTAGGAAATACTATATTGGCATGACAGTGAGTTTTGTATATTTTTCTTTCTGACTTTCAAGCAGCATTTTTTAACTTACCCTTGTACATCACAACCCCACAGTGTCATAATGAGCATTTTTAAACAGAAAAATCAGGATGCTATGGGCTTTTCATGCAAGCATCTATATAATATGGAGAGTAAGCAGGGAGCCATGGAAAGCAATTGTATTGAAGGTGGAATTAACTTTTGTCAAAAACATTTTAATGTTAGAACCTTCGCCAATTCAAAATCAAAAGGTCAGCCTTTCCCAACGTCAAAGTTCAGAAGACAGGAAGTTAGGAGAGGTGAAGGAAGGGAAATGGGAAATCTAGGGAGGCGGTGGGGTGAGTGTTGTCACATTGTGGGGATTGCAATCAATTACATCAAACAGAATAGGTATGAATGTCTTATTGAAAAAAACCTGTTTACTGCAGTTATATTATTTTAAAATTCTAGTATTCTATTTCAAAATGAAATCTACCAGTAAAAACACAAGAAAATCAAACTTCTAAAAGGAATCTGATGAACAGGTTTTACATATTAAAAATATATATCATTATATGTAAAATATTTTAAATATTTATAAACTATTACACATACCAAATAGTAGAGGACAAAACAATTGTATTTATTTCTTCTCTTATACATAGCATGATATAATCGAACACTCTATACGGCCTGCCTTTTAACTTCTGCCCATTTGAGATGAGTGACGCCCTCCCCCCACCACTGCCCCAGTCATTGCAGCACAGTCCCCTCACCTGGAGGAGGCGGCCTTTCCAACATGTTCAAGTGATGAGAAATGAAGGCCTGGCTGTCATGAACAGTATCCATGTCAATTTCCTCCTCGTCTTGAGAATTTGAGAACTAAACACACACACACACACACACACACACACACACACACCACAACACAAAAGCAGAGGAGAGAAAGAACTGTTATACAATTTTTGTGTCTCAATCTTAATTCTTAAGCAAGATAGCAGAAAAGCCTTTAGGAGATGCCCCCAAATAATCTTAAAAGGAAAAGCAGGATCCTTACCTCAACAAGAATTACGAGGAATGCAATTACATGGTCCAGCCCCCCAAAACTGATTGGAAATCATTGGAGATGCAACAACTAAAGCCTATCCCTCTGCTGTGGGAAGCCAGAGCCCACTGTGTGTGGTGAAATGCGCGCACATGGTTTCTCCCACAAACAGAGAGAAGCATGTGACAGCAAAGTGCAGACGAGTGGTTGGAATGTCTCAGATGGACACTGGGGTTATTTCATGATTCAGTCTGTCCCCAGTGTTTCGGCGAAGGAAAAACCATGACAAGGATTCAGAAAGATTGACAAGAAGGTGAACACCCTACACTGTGAATCCAGGCCTCGCCTGTATTTCTTACTCGGATTTTGAGTTTGACTTTACTGCTACCCTCACTCTTCTCCAGTATCTGACCGGCTCTAGTGGGGACCCAGTGGTGTGTCGGGCTCCCTCTTCACTCCCTGCTGTGAGCTGATACACTACATGATGCTTCCTTGGCAAGGTGATCCTCTTCCTGCGGCAATGTTCAAGATCAAAATTAGATTTCTGAAGACAAGTAGCTCATAGAATCGCGGAAAACTAATAGCTAAAAAGCAACCATGCAAATGAGAGCAGGCCCAGAGGCTGAAAGTTATTAGCAATGGGCTCAAAATAAATGTAACCCTTTCCTATCTGCTACTTTTATGGTGGGAGGCGGAGGCTTAAAAAGAAGGTGTGAAAGTGACCTTTTAGAGCTTTCCCTAAAAGCACACGGCTTTTGGTGTTACTTTCTCCTCTTACCCTGAGAACGATAAGCGGGGTGTTGATAACAGATAAATTAACATGTATGAGCAAGACGTAGAAACATTCCTTTCCACAGGTTTATCAATGAATTTCAGACCTGAAGGAGATCTATGACATGTCTTTCCTTCCCTATGGGAAGCTTTGTCCGACTTCTTCCTAACCCAACACTCTACAATAGATTTAAAATTCACAAGGAAGATTTTATTTCATAAAGACTGAATAAGAGAAATTTAAAAAGCCTAACTAGCTTTGAGGAAGGGAAACTGGGCTTTCCACTCTCAACACCCCAGTAGGGAACTGCCGGGCAAGCCAGCAGGTCTAAATGTCGGTGACAAATGAAGCCTCGAGGATTGGGGCTATTTTGTCATCGGTAAGAACATCACCTCTGGAAAATCTTCTGCAAATTATAGAAACATAATTAGTTGTACTCACATGCATCCTAAAAGGCCCTCTACAAAGAAAGGGTTGGTAATTTTATAATGCATAGCTATAACAAAACTTTTGTAAAGCCACACATAAACGGCAAACAACAACCCACAATGCAGTCTCTTCACAAATCAGTCGATTACTCCTTCCTCTAGCTGCTTCTGTATCCATCTTCATTTCGCTTCAGTTCATTCAGCTACCTAACAACCTATCTAGTTACCTCAGGCACAGGGGCTTCCAAAAGTTCATGAAAAAATGCCACGATCTTTTAAATCTAGTTTTCCACGTCCTTTTTGAGGGCCCTTCATAGCACCTATTTTTATATCTATTATCTACTATTTGTCAAGCTACCTACGTACTTAATGAAGGGGGCTTCAAAAAGCTCAGGGGGGAAAGCAATGAACAAGACAATGGGATTTTTCTGTGAATGTTGGGAAGTCCACTCACGATCTGCCTGCCTCCTTACCTACCTACCCAACGAGCAGCTGCCAGACACTTCACAGACACTGGGAGCCCTGGTGGAGCTGGGGGTTAGGTGTTGATTGCTGCTGTTGCCTGCAAGGTCAACGATTCAAAGCCACCAGCCACTCACAGAAGAAATGAAGATGTCTGCCCCTGGAAATACTCACAGCTGCTGCGAGCGAAGTCAGAATCAGCTCGATGGCAGTGGGTTGTGAGTTTGGTAACATACATTTAGGAGCGACCTAGGTATTACCCACAGTCACACCGAAAATGACACGTGTGCTGGGTTCAGACAGCTCACCACTCACACGGATGGGTGAAACAGGTTAAGTGTCATAGGTTAAATACTCATTTCCCTTCTGTGCTCTGGCACATGGGAGGGCGTGCCTGCACCAGAGGAGTAAGCGAGCTGGCGGTGTCTCTTGTGCTCTGGGCGCCTCAGCTACACAGCTGTCCGCAGCTCTGGATCAGTGTAAGGAGCTCCACGAATGGCAGCTGCCATGTTGTTAAACAGTAGAAAACACTGGTCTGATAGCTATGAAAATCCACCAGCCAAAGAAAGAGGTCTTTCTCTAGAAAGCGGCGTCTCTTCAGAAACAGAGGGAATTCTTACAGGATTCTGGAATCCAACTAGCTGGAGGTGACTGCCTGGGCTACTCGTAGCATCGGGGTTGCCGCCTATGGTCTCAGGAATGATGGTGGGATTCAACACAGCTTTTTTCTCTTTCAGATTGAGAACCAACCCGAGCTCTGGCAAAGGTAAGCAGGAAGGTCTACTGAGGCCGAAGAGAGTGAAGTACAAGTCCACCGCGCCACAGCGCAGTCTCCAGTCGTGTGAAGTACCTGTCAGGAAAAAGAAAGAAATGAAACCGATATGCACACCCTGAACCACACACGTTCCAGCCATTCTGGAATCTACAGAGAAGAGGGATCCATTGAGCTAGGCCCCTCGGCCAACATGGCACCCTAAAAATTCACCTGCAGCCCATATTTAACAACCGGTTACAGAAACAGAACGTGTCGGCAAACAGGAGAAACCTTGTCCTTAACTATTCTTATAAAATATCGGATCATCAACAAGAAAGATAGCATTCTGAAAATACTTCTTCTGGCCTAAAACCTTTCTTTTTATTGCTGCATCCAAATAACGCCTTCGCCTTCATACATTCGCTATTCACTGTGACTGATTTTCCTCTTCTTCAGCTGCCTATCAGGGAGAGAGGCCTGCAGGAGCCTTGGTAAACCGTCACTAAAACCAATTCTCTAACTATAAACACGGCGACTTTCAACTTCTAAATAGGGTAAGGAAACACAAAGACTACATGACCTGGTAGCCACATTTAATCTTGGACTTACTACCAAGGAAGTTAATACTCTGCTAAACACCATCGCATTGTTTTTAGACCAAGTATTTCTTGGGTTGGGGGGAAATCCCAGAAAGCAGTAACCAAAGGGGTGGCAGTTGCAGTAAAACATTTGGCTACAAGAAGACTGGTGTGTAAAAAGTTAATTCTTAAAAGGCATGCTGGGTTACAAGTTGAGCTACTAACTGAAGGGTTGGCGGTTCCACTCCTCCAGTGGTTGCTCAGGAGACAGAGGAGGCTGTCTGCTCCTATAAAGATTGAACAGCCTTGCAAATCCAAAGGGACAGTTCAACGCTGTCCTGCAGGGTTGCTATGAGTTGCAATTGACTTGATTGTAGTGGGGGGAACATTTTTACTTAAACTTGACCAAGAGCTGTGGTTTCAAAATAGCTTTATGTTTAAAGGAGAAATAAAAAATATACTGCAAGCCGTGACAGACTTCCTCTAACAGAGTAGCAATTATATGCAAAGGAAATTCACAATAGGGGTATTATCATTTCACCGAGCTCATACCAGATAAAGTTTCGTGCTAGGCATTTTGTATATGATAATGCCTTGAAAGGGCAGTCACCTTCCTATTTGAGATGTCCTTGATTTTGCTGCTGTTTGAGAAAACAACACTTGTAACCTTGTTGGAAACAGAGGAAGAGGCAGTAGCTTCAAAGGAAAATCAGGCTTCTATGTAATAAAAACTACCGAGGAACTACAAACGGAAAGACAAGATACAATGAAGACAGACATTTCCCACGGGGAGTCCATTTCCCATCTCTGGAAATGCACATCTGGATACTTCACGGGTCTGAAGTACGTAGCTTTACTCTCGGAGACATTCAGAGTCTCGTGTGGTTTTAGCAAAGGTGCCACCCTCTGAGTGACGGGAACGAATTGGTGAACCCAGCGCACTGGCCCCCTACTTGTGCAGAGGTGTCACTAGGAAAGGCGTGACTAGTCGGTATTTTATCCACAGGAGGAAGCAGAAAGGTTTGGGGTACACTGACACTACTTGCAAGAAAAGGAAACTTTGAAGCTCAGTATCATCTAGTCATCTGTGCTACACATGCCATCCTAATTCTGTGCATGTCACACACGACATTCAAATCAATCAGGCTAGTGATTGTGAACTCCATTAAAGCCAAGCAAACCTATCACTAGGTAAATCTACGAAGACAGCAATTGGACTGATATTACCTAAGGACATAGGAGAGCAGGTGGAGGAAGTGGGGAACTAACAACGAGTACTGGAGGAAGCAAATGATCTACAATGGATTGTGGTGATGAGTACAATTCTTCTTCATAACATGACTGAACTATTGTATGCTATGTAAGTTATACGCCAGTTACAGTATGTTTTAAAAACCACATGGAAACGTACTGTGAGGAGCTAAGCTTGTTACTTCTTTGAAAGCCAACCTAAACAGCATCAGTACAGCTAATGCACTGAACCTGGAGAATACAATTTTTATTCCTTTTGATTTCTGAGTTGTCTTGCATTTAGTAGACCTTCAATTTGGAGGAAAAAAGAGCCAAACATGAACTTGTTCCTGAGGAAGGCCAGTGAGAGGCCTTTTTGTTTGTCTCTCTCTTTGAAAATTGACTTAGAGATAAAAGAATATTTGAAAAATAAACAGCAGATAAAAGTGAACTCAAAATAGCTCACAGCATCGAGGAGAAGACACAGGAGAACAGCTAGGAGGCTTGGGCTGAGGACGATTTTTCAGATACAATCCCAAAGCATGAGCCATGAAAGAAAATGATGGTACCTTGGACTTCAGACTGAGAGAAAATATTTACAAAATACATAATTTATTACACAAATTACAAAATTTATGATAAATGGTTTGCATCCAAAATACATATACAAAGAATACTTAAAACTCAATAAGAAACCAACAGCACAAATAAAAAATACCCAAAAGACTGAGCAGACACACACAGAGATTAAATAAGCATAGAAAAAGATGCTCACTCTGACTCAGGGTGACCCCACGGACAGGGTAGAACTGCCCCTGGGGGTTTCTAAGACTAACTCTTTAAAGGAGTAGAAAACTTTGACTTTCTCCCATGGAGTGGCTGGTGGTTTGAAACTGCTGACCTTGCAAATAGAAGCCCAACTCATAACCACTTCACCGCCAGGTCTTCTTTTATTATATGTCATTAGGGACTTGCACACTGAAACAATGAGATACTAACCGACAACTATTAACAACTACCCATGGAGTTGATTCCAACCCACAGTGATCCCAAGTGTGTCAGAGTAGAACTGTACTCTGTAGAGATTTCAATGGCTAATAGCAAGGAGGTAGATGGCCAGGTCTTTCTTCTGAGACACCTCTGGGTAGGCTGGAGCATCCAACCTCTCTGAGGGCAGCCAAGCACATTAACTGTTTATGTCACCCAGAGGTGGCTCAAGTTCAAAACACTGACAACATTGGATGCCGATGAGGATGTGGCGGCAAAGGGGCCTTTCTCCCACTGCGGGAGGGAATGCAAAATAGCACAGCCACATGGAAAAGCAGTACGGCACTCCCTTGTAAAACCAAATGTAGGCTGACCAGATAATCCAGCAGTCCCGCACTTATGCATTTATCCAAATGAATTGAAGACCCAAGTCTACGTAAAAACCAGCACACAAATGCTTACAGTAGCCTTATTAATAATCAACCCAAAGAAAAGCAACCAAAGTATCTTTTAACAGGTGAATGGATAATCAAGCAGTGATATCTCCATACCCCATGTGTCACCATGGACTCTAACTCATAGCGATGACCGTGTAGGCCAGAGTAGAACTGCCCCTTTGGGTTTCGGGGACTAAACCTTTACCAGAGCAGAAGCCTTCATCTTTTCCCACAGAGCAGCTGGTAGGTTTGAACCACTGACCTTGCAGTGAACAGTTCAAGATGTATCCCACTACAGGTCCCGGAATAAAACTTCAAATTGGAAGTAACACTTCTACAGTTAAATTACGTTGGTCATCATCATCATTATAATACAAGATACTGCACCAGGCCTCAGGATTGCTGTGCTTTTCGCTTCTGGCTAATTACTTGTTAGCTTTGGTACATGGGGCCAGCCGCCTGGGCCATAAAGTGGCAACAGTTAAGATGATTTTAAAGAGTCCCTCAAGTTTAAATTTCTATGAATCCAAAAATAATCATTTTATTAGACAGGCCCTTAATAGTTTGATATCTACCTTCAGTTATACTGCTGGTGGCACTGTGGACTGGGTGCTAGGTTCTTAACCGCAAGGTCAGCAATTCAAACTCATCAGCTACTCCACAGGGCAAAGATGAGGCTGTTTACTCTCATAAAGATTTGCAGTCTTACAAGCCTTCTATACGGGGTCGGAATTGGCTTAATGGCAGTGGGTTTTACACACACACACACACACACACACACACACATACACACACACGTCTGTTCTTATACTAACTCTATAGGACAGGGTAGAACTGCTCCATTGAATTTCTAAGCCTGTTGAAGGTAATCAAGCGGCCTTCAAGCTCAGAAGCAACAAAGCCCACATGGAAGAAGCACACCAGCCTATGCAACCACAAGGTGTC